TGATATCATACTTAATAACGATATTATTTATTGATAAAATTAAATTCCTTACAATTTACCTTACAATATCCATAAAATTAAATCATGACACTAACGCCACTTCTTCAAAATAGACTCGCCCAGGCCAGAAACCGACTTCTGCGCATGGGCCATGAAGTTTCAATCGCACTGTACATGCGCGCCCGCACGTGGTATTTTGTGGAAGAGCCACACTCAAGGGGCCAAAGAGCCGCATGTGGCTCGCGAGTCGCAGTTTGCCGACCACTGCACTAGGCAACACCACACATCATTTACCCAGAACTCTGTCCCTGGGAACTTGGGCTTCTAAAGTGTGCCCAGAGTGTGGACGCTAAGCTTTTTAGCTCATAGGATCCCAGGGAGCACTGGGTAGGGAAATGCTGCTGCTGCGAATTCCTCCCCGCTCTCTGCCCCATTAGACTCACGTGCTGAGTCTCTGAGAGCTTCCTGCGTTGCAGCCAGAAATTTCATAAGGCAGAGAGGAATCATCAGTCCTGGCCAAGATGACTTAGCTGGCAGGAAAGACACATTGCTCCTGCCACGTGTCTGTCACCAAACAGGCACTCACTAAGCACCCACCCACCACCCTGGGCCTTGCTGAGCACAAGAAGGTGGGGTAGTCTGAATTGTGTGTCTTATGAATTATTAACAGTCAGCTTCCCTCGTTACTAGGGAATGAGAAGACTAGTCAATATTTTGGAAAATGAAGACTGAAATTAAATGTACCCAATGGGAAAAGGTCTTAAGATTTAACATTGACTAAGGGAGTAGTAACTGTGGTGAATTTGCATGTTGATGTGTCTGTAATGAGGTGGGAGGTTTATACATGATGACAGGAAACAGAACTGAAAATAATTGTCAGAGAATCTGAACGAGAAAAAAAAATATGTATGTTTGTAACTTCGGTCTCTCTCCTTTAATAGAACTGACATTCTGTACCCCAGCATGAAAGCTATAGCTCGGAGGATGGGGCAAGAAGATGCATTTGAAGAACTTATAATAAGTAGTCAGTCTATTCTTCCCCCCGAAGGAGCCTCGGAAATTGCAATAAAGACTCAGCAGGTATGCAGGAGCTCTTTTGAATTTGGCTTTGACATTTTGCTTTATGGTATTAACAGATTTACCTGAGTGATGTGTTGTTGTTTTTCTAAGAAGTGAAGTGTAAATTGAAGGTTTGTAAATCATTGAACAGGCAGAGAGGAAACTAAGTATTTAAAGGCATGTGGGGCTTTGACTAAGCAAATAACTACCACTTAATGTTTCAGAACTATAAATCTAGATTTTCATATTTTAATTTCCCCAAATTACGGTGTACCACCACAAAACAAAGACGACAAAAGAAAATATAACCATTAGCATCTTAAACATAAAATCCATCACACAGATATCCCCCCCAATACACACACCATGGAAATGGATAAAATAGTTCATGTGATTGTTTTTCTGAGAATAAGACACCACCACTTTTGCGCTAGCCCGTTCGATGTGTGTTTTAGATGATCTATATGGAGAGGAGGTTTTCCCAAGCGTTTGTTCACCTTGGTCCTGGGACACAGGCTCCGTGTGGTTGTGCTCATTGTAACAGATGAGCACAGCTCTAACTCTTTGGGTGTCACTGCCGAGATGCATGACTACTGAGCGTCAAGGAGAAATCAGCGCCTCCCCCAACACACACACACACACACACACACACACACACACACAGTCCCAAGCAACGTGTGCTCTGTGAGCATAATGTGTAAAGTTAGTGGAACAGGGTTTTCTCTTGGTCATGTATGAAGTTTTAAATATTCTCATGAAATCCTCCTTGTTGCCTACATCAAGTTTCAGACCTGAGGGCTTCTCATATAATAATAGATCACAACATTCCTGCTCACATTTAGAGACCCCAAAACATATGAGGTCACCTCAGACATCGAGCACTCTGCAATTTAACAGAATTTGTTAGCAAAAAGGGTTATATTTTATTAGTCAGAATGTAGGCCAGGAAGAAAAAACGCTGGTCTCCAAAGAGGTGTACGTCCCCCCCTCCCCCAAGACCTACCTCCCCCCACAGAAGCCCTTGGGAGTCCTCGGCAGGAGCCCTTCCTCCTTTCGGGGAGGGGGCAGTTGAAGGCCAGGACCAGCCCAAGGCCCTTCTGCAGGAGTGTGACTTGGAAGCCTAGAGTGTAAACTAAGTGTGAAGACTGACTCTCAAACTGCTTACTCTAGCTTCAGACACTGCTGGAAAATCTTGAAATTCATATGATCCAGGAGGTATTAAGACAAGTTAACAGAGAGATAGCCCTGGTTGTGTCAGAAAAGTCCAAGGAGCAGCCTACTCTCCCCACAGGTAAATTATTATTATCTCACAAATAGCATTTACTGTTCTTTCCTAATTATACAAGCAATCCATGTATCCATAGTCAGGCTAAAAAAATCTATAATGCCCAGAAAATTACATAAAAATTACTTAACATCTTGACCCGGAGAGAAGTACTATTAACACTTTGATATATTTGCCTCCACTTAAAGGGCTTTCAACATTTGTTGTATGTCAACTGCAATAAGTGAAATTTAAAAATAAATAAATACATAGAAAATATTTGTTAACTTCAGTCTCAACTCTGCTTGTTAACTCGAAACTGAAATAAAATTGAAATGAGGGAACACATAAAGCTTTTCTTATTCCATGTGTGCAGGCATATATTACACATATATGGCATCAACATGTAAAATGTTAGAAATGCACACATTTGGGTAGGAAAGCAATCTAACGCCAGGGTCACTTCACGGGCGCATGACCAGTGTGCTCACACAGGACTCAGGGCACTTGGAGTTCAATGCTCTTTGGGTACCATCTGGAAACTCCTAATTTTAACGTAGAATTTCTGTTTTGTAATGGTACACTGGAAATCAGCGAGCTGAACATAAGATGCCTTAATAAGCCAAATTAATCTGGAGTCTTTTATTACGCTAGCGGGCTCAGAGGAATATTGCTTCCAGGGTCTGAGCAAAAACATGGAGGACGTTTTCCCTTTTTATATTTTTCTAATGTCTTTGTCCCCTAAATATGGGGCTTCCAGTCCCTTTTGCAAGTTTTCAAAGAGCCCTATGCATGCTTAGTAGATATCTTGCAGGAAACTTGCAGCCTTGAGTACAACACAGTTCAGTAGCCTTGAGTACAGATAACTAAAAGACACCTGGTATGGGGGTAGCTAGGGACGGCAGCGGAGCGGCTTGCAAGGTCAGACAGTTGAGCTTGTTTTCCCTGTCATTAGAGCAAACGTGTTTTACAGAAGCCAATAATAGCAGAATTAATTCACAGAACAAAGGACTGTCTGTGTCTAGTGGAAATTTCAAACAGCAGTTTTTACAAAATAGAGGTTACTATGCTTCAGTAAGTAGAATCCAGTGAGTAGATGGAGGGTGCACCAAGGGCTTGGAGCTCTGGCTCACAAACAGTCCCGCCTCCTGTTGCCTCCCCAGCTTGCCAGGAGGGCTTCTCAGCTGCCTGCTCCTCTGCTCTCTGTCACCCAGGGCACCCCTAAGCTTCCCCTCACCAACCCATCAGCAATCGCTGCAGCCCTCACCCCAGCGGGGGCCTGAGCCTGGAGAGGGTCAGGATAGGGTGTGTATAGCTGGCAGTGTCTAAGGCAGTGGTTCTCAACCTTCTGGCCCTTTAAATACAGTTCCTCATGTTGTGACCCAACCATAAAACTATTTTCGTTGCTACTTCATAATTGTAATGTTACTACTGTTTGAATCATAATGTAAATATCTGATATGCAGGATGGTCTTAGGCGACCCCTGTGAAAGGGTCGTTCGACCGCCAAAGGGGTCACGACCCACAGGTTGAGAACCGCTGGAAGGGATCCTAGGACAGCACCACAGTGTGTTGGATGGGTGACTCAGTGGGGACAAGCCTGTTGCACTTCCCTGGGTACCTAAAATATCCCAGGGCAGAGGTTGTAATACCTTTGGGTTGTCCATCTACAGTGGGTTGGGGCAGAAGGGGTCATGCCTGGCTCTGCTCCTGGCTAAGGCATGAGGCCTCAGTTCTGTACCTAGTGGATCACATGTACCCAGTCACAGGGCAGGGTCTCTGGGTGCCCATGAGGGTCCAACTTGCCCTGCAAGCATTCCCATGCCTGGGTGTGCAATGTTAAAAACAAATAAGAACACCATGGCAGATCAAGAGAGAGATTGTGGAAGAAAGGAAAACTCTGCTTTTAGTACCTTAATGGTACTTTTTTCCTACTTTTGGAAGAAGAAGCCCTGCATTTTTATTTTTCAGGGGGTTCCCCAGAGTACATAGCTGGTCCTGTCTGAACTGCAGTATCTATTCCTAACTCCTACTAATCCTGTAAGAAAATCCACAACCTTTGAGCTATGGAGGGGTTGTCTGACTAGCCAAATAATTTAGGTTTTCCTCTTGAGGCAACCCCACAGATTGTAATGTTTATGAATAACCTCTGTCCTCACCTAAGCCCTTGTCATTTGATCAGTGCTTCAAGTAGCTGGATCTGTAAACAGGGCTCTGGGAAGAGGCTGTGCAGTGACAGGGCAAGCCACGCCCCCTGGGCAGCTCTGAATGTCACCAGAGAGCTGAGTGCGGTTGAGCTCCAGTTACAGAACATTTAACGAGACACAAAGTGCCTGTTGTTTGCACTGCCTCCGTTGCATCCAGGTGGCTCCTGGGAGAAAATCCACAAGCACACGGCAGGTGCAACCATCTGCAAGTTTCCAGGCTGTAGTTCTTATGAGACTAGGGGAGGAAGCGTCTCTGCTCTGTGGCTATGTGGTGTGTGCCCTGGGCAGGGTGCTGCTCAGCTGTGCTCGGAAAGGCCGTCAGGAAGGGGCTGGTGGCAGTCAGGCAGGGGGGAGGGGTAGAGTTATTCTGAATGGTGGTAAGGCTGATATGCCCAAACCTTACTCTGGCTAGAGTATACTGGCCAATTCTAAAGTCTTGCTCAAATTCTGTACTCATGAAGCTTTTAAAATAAGTGCCAATGGTAAGGGTGTTTGGTCTGTGGTTTGGGTCTGTCCAGCATGACTTAACGTGGAGGTCTGGGTCTCCTCTTGTACTGCCTTCCCCCCATTCAAGTGCCAAGAGACCTCTCTGCCTGCCGGGGTGCTGTTCTGTACATTTCCTCAATCTAGGCTTCCCGTGATCTCTGTGGACTGCTTTCAAAGACGGTGATAAAACCACCTCCTGCTCATCTCAGCAGTAAGAAGCAGCCGTAGTGGATGGGGCTTCCAACAGGGACCGCTTTTTCATGTGAGACCACCCTTTGTGGTCAAGGTAACCTGGGGCCAGGGGTTTCTCTAGAGCAGTGGTTCTCAACCTTCTTAATGCCACGACCCTTTAATACAGTTCCTCATGTTGTGGTGACCCCCAATTTCATTGTTACAAATTGAACATAATTAAAGCATAATGATTAATCACAAAAACAATATGTAATTGTATATGTGTTTTCCGATGGTCTTAGGCGACCCCTGTGAAAGGGTCGTTCGACCCCCAAAGGGGTCGTGACCCACAGGTTGAGAACCGCTGCCCTAGAGGGAGTCAGGAATGAAGAGACTGAGACCAGGGACATCACAAGCGCCTGTCCTTCCCTTAGGGCAGTGACGGCGAACCTTTTGAGCTCGGCGTGTCAGCATTTTGAAAAACCCTAACTTAACTCTGGTGCCGTGTCACATATAGAAATTTTTTGATATTTGCAACCATAGTAAAACAAAGACTTATATTTTTGATATTTATTTTATATATTTAAATGCCATTTAACAAAGAAAAATCAACCAAAAAAATGAGTTCGTGTGTCACCTCTGACACGCGTGTCATAGGTTCGCCATCACTGCCTTAGGGTCTCCTCTCTCCCTGTTGGCGGGCTCAGGTGTCTACATTTATACCTGCCAGAAAGGAACCCTTGATCTTCCCTCTACCTTCTTCCCCTCTCCTCACCTAGTCGTAGAGCTTCATCTTTCTATACAGCTTCTGAGTGAGTTTTCAGTTTCGGTTTGTCAGTGAGCATTGGAAATGTGGCAGCCACACCCAGTGGTGCTGATTCTCGGTAGTGGAACTAATGCTCCCCTGAGAACTTTCAGGAGTGGCTCCAGACACCCCCATTCAGCCTCTGGATTCGCCTTAGCAGAGCCATGGACTCCACTGATGCAGAAAGGCTCTGCCATTCTCCATCCAAGGCTCTGCCATGTCCAAATGACATGTTGGCATTAAAGTCATTTTTAATTGATTTCCTAAACTTCTCTGAGCAGTGATAAGGCCTGTAGTCTCCAAAGTAGAGTGCATATATCTCAGGGGTGTGGGAAGAAAATACTAGAACTTCTAAGTAGATTAAATTTATATGTAAGAGTCACATGTCACACTCCACAATGAGGTATCCTAAAGTGACCATAGGGAGGTAATCCAGAAGTGAATATGAAAAAATAGTAGAGGTGACACTCTAGTCCAGGTACATGCTTATCCTTAGCCATATTATGAGGTTTAAAAAAAAACATAACTTAGCCCTGGCTGGTGTCTCAGTGGCTATGGTGTCTGCCCGCACACTGGAGGGTCCCAGGTTCGATTCTAGGTCAAAGGCACATACTTGGGTTGCAGGTTTGATCTCTGGCCCCCGTTGGAGTGGATGTGGGAGGCAACCAATTGATGTGTCTTTCTCACATCCATGTTTCTCTCTCTCCCTCTCTCTCTTTCTCTGTCTCTCTCTCTCTCTCTCCTCTTCGCTCCCTTCCACTCTCTAAAAATCAATGGGAAAAATATCCTCTGGTGAGGATTAACAAAAAAATAAGTAAATAAATAACCTAATCACATCTGATAAGAAGTCAGGCAAAAAGATTAAAAGGTCAAGGGAACTATGGGAATGTGGATTGAGATTCATTCTTACTGTTGATGGACCTCACCCTAAGTACATCATGCTTTGCAATGTTAGCCAGTGATTGTACTGTAGGTAGTTAGAAATATTAGAAATACATAAACATAGATGTGTTAAAGGTGAGTGGATAAAACTGTTTCACTTGAGGGAAGCACAATCAAAATACTTACCTGTAGGAGTGTATGGTCCAGGCCAGCATGCCCCCAGCAGTGTGCCCTGGAACACAAGTTTCTCAACATGTTAATGCAAAAGTTCTCCCAACCACCCTCCACTAAGAGACTCAGGGTTGCCTGAAGCTTCCCATTCCCTTGGTAACACAAGCAGGCAAAGTACTTACTAACAGTCTTTGGGTTGCATATGTTCACCTAGCATCATTGATCATTGTTTGCTCCAAACCTGTTTATGCCACTTTTACTTGTCATTTTGCTTGAGTAATTTAATTCCGCATTATGTAACCCAT